AATGCAAGTCCCAATACGTATGTTTAACAGCAACACAAAAAAAGTATATGCAGGTTGAGTCTCCCTTATTGGAAATGTTGGGACAAGAGATTTGGATTTTGGATATATATATATATATATATATATATATATATATATATATATATATACCTGTATTTACATACACAGCCATAATGGGATATCTTGACGATGGGACCCAAGTCTAAACGCAAAATTCATTTATGTTTCATATACACCTTCTACACATAATGTTATGCACAATGTTTTAAAATAATTTTGTGCACGAAAGTTTGTGTCCATTGAACCATCAGGAAGCTAAGGTATCATGATCTCAACCACCCATGTAAAAAAGTTTTGATTTTTGGAATATTTTGGATTTTGTAATTCCAGGTAAGAGAGACTCAAGCTGTAATGCATTTTCTCCATTCACTTGCAAGAACTGATATGCATTCCAGTTTATTTCACCCTTTGTGCTTCTCCCCTCCCTGTGGAACATGTACCTCTTTCCAGATTCTGTGGTACCAAATATAAGTGAATTGCAATTTAAGTATATATATATACATTCAACAGCAACACAAAATAAGTATATGTTTAATTAAACACATATCCCAAAAGTTATGTGCATCTCATGAGGACTTTATGGCAGAAGTCTCTTCTGCATGTGCTGCTCAGTTGTATTGCAACATCTGGATGCAATCTTAAATAAAAAATAAACAACTAGAATACAGACAAGTACAATAATAGAAATTCCACCACAAAGAATTCATTACAGCTTCTCTAGCTCCAGCAATCACTGTTTTCCTGTACTCAACCAATAACTCAACACCTCCTTCTTGGGCCAAACCAAGAGTTCATACATAAACGTTTTGTACTATCCAGCCCCCAAAAAAATCTGCTTGTGTCCCTGCCTGCCCCCTTCAAATGTATTATTTATTTAATTTATATCCCAACTTCTTCCTGACATAGGATCCAAGTTAAAAATTAAAAAGAAACACAGCTGAAAACCAATTCTGTAAGGTTGGCTCTGTGGCCTTGTCTGCACCGCAGAGTTAATGCAGTTTGACACCACTTTAACTGTCATGGCTCAATGATATGGAATTCTGGGATTTGTAGTTTTGTGAGACATTTAGCCTTTTCTGTCAGAGAGCTCTAGTGCCCACAAACTACAAATCCCAAGATTCCATAGGATGGAGCCATGATGGTTAAAACGGTATAAAACTGTATTATTTCTGCAGTGCAGATGCAGCCTCGGGCTTAACAACATAAGGAAAAGGGGGAATTTCCTGACCTTTGGGATTCTACGGTAAGGAAATTTAGATGCTGTGAGATTCCTAATTGTTCATTACTTGTTCTGTGCAAATTTTGATTGTGCTGAAATGTTGCAATTTTACACACAAAATGTCATTTTTTTTGTGCAGAAAACATATTGTCTGTGGTGAAAAACACACACTTTCTGTGGTGAGCAGAAAAAGCTTGCTTTGGAACATTGTGGCTTGATACATAATGAGATCAAAGAAACATTAAAAATCAAGGGGGGCATCAAAGCCCCGGTTAGATAGTTACACACCATCCAAGAACGCACAACTGCAACAAGAGCTCCCATTTTTGAACCACAACATTGCCATTGATCATGGTTTAGGGAGCTTGCACAAAATATCCCATGTGGGTGTTCTTATTTATTTATTTATTTATTTGGAGCACATTAATTCCCAAGCTGTAAACTGTCCTCTAAAACTCCACAGTTTTTTGGGACTTTCTTACCATAGGGAGAAAAATTATTGAATTATTCATTCCTGCCTATGAAAGGAAATTAATGCAGATTTATTAGTCTGCTCAAGTTAGACCTATATGAGAATTATCAATCACACCAGAAGAAAGAACGTGACACACCATTCTCACAACAGGAGAGGCCTTTTGGCTGGATGCAAAAACATCCAAATCCACAGAGGAGCAATACTTTTATTGGTCAGCCGAAATGCACAAAATACATCATGCAAGCTTTTGAAGCTCTGCTGGCTTTTTCACCAGGCAAAAGATGTTTCAAAAAATCATACAGGAGAAGAAAGGTTACGATGGCAGAGTCACACAGGCCAACATTTGTTATCAGATGTTGTTTCTGTTGTAGTTCAGTTCGTTTGGGGGATCTCGGTGCACAAAAGACCATGGACAAAGCATAATAAAAGACAGGTTAAAAAAATCAATTCTACTAGGTTTTTCATAGAATCCTAGAGTTGGAAGAGACCCCCAGGGGCCATCCAGTCCAACCCCCCCTGCCATGCAGGAATTCACAGTCAAAGCATTCCAGACAGATAGCCATCCAGCCTCTGTTTAAAGACCTCCAAAGAAGGAGACTCCACCACACTCTGAGGGAGCAGCATCTTCCATTGTCAAAAAGCTCTTAGTGTCAGGAACTTCATCCTAAAGTTTAAGTGGAATCTCTTTTCCCTGTAGCTTGAATCTGTTGCTCCATTTTAAAAACATATTTTGCCTGATGAAGAAGCTGGTGGAGCTTCGAAAACGTGCATGATATCTTTTGTGCATTTTGGTTGGCCAATAAACATATTGCTCTTCTCTGGATTTTGGGTGTTGTTGTATTTTGTATTTTGCTGAATGGACAATATGACTACCCCTGGATATGTCTTTTGGCTGGAGGCATCCATAGTATTGCAATTATGCGCAAGTGCTCAGGATTTGTGGTAGAATTTCCTTCCATTTCCCTCCCTGTCATAGCCACCCATGAATTGCAGACATGCTCACAGCTGTGGCTTGCAGTCCATCCCCTGCATCGGATGGAGGATGCAAATTGCCAAAGCTCTCTCTCTTCTCTATAGGACAGCTTGTCTCTAAGGCTCTTTTGCTGCCTTTTTGTGACAGCAGCACTGCCGATGGGCACAGCAATTTGCAGAGAGACCTGAGCAGGAAACCTCTGCTGGAGCTAACAGTGCTTTCATCCACAGAAGAAAAAACTGAGGGAAGGGAAGGATCTGCCTTAGTTCTATCTCTGGGTCACATTTTTGTTGTTGTTGCATCTTTTCTCCAACAACTGCATGGTTCTTCTTTTCCGCCTTTATACCGTTGACCTTGTCATCTTCACAGCCATCTCCTGGGAAAGGTTTGGTTGAGAGATTGTGATGCCATTTGACAGTGGCTGCTGTCTCTGGGATGGGGAATTAGTACAGGATTTCAGCCTGAACTTCATAGGGGCTGTCCAGAGTGCTGAATGATCTCCTTCAATAGCCTCTTGATGTTGTTAACTGCCCACAAGTTGCCCCGGCTCAAGGTGACCCAATTAATGAGACATCTCCAAGACCCCCTGTCCTCCATTGCTCTACTTGAGTCCTGTAGATTCATGCCTGTGACTTCCCTATTTAAATATAGCCATCTGGTGTGTGGTCTTTTTCTACTTTTTCCCCCACCTTTCCTAGCATTATTGTATTGTCATGATGTGGCCAAAGTATGACAGGTTTAGTTTCATCATCTTGGCTTTCAGGGAGATTTTAAGCTTGATCTGTTCTAAGAGCCATTTGTTGGTCGTCTTGGCCATCCAAAGTATCCTCGGCGCTCTTCTCTAGCACCACATCTCAATTGAATTATAGTTGGCCCTCCGTTTTCACAGGGGATCCCCACGAAAATGGAGATTCCCAAATATTGAAGCCCCATAGGCTTGAATGGGGCACGGCCAATTGATTTAAATGGGGTCGCCTCTCCATGAATATGTAAAACTGTTGACTTCAAGTCCGCGAGAATGGAGGGCAACTGTAATTTTCTTTCTCCCCACTTTCTTCACTGTCCATACATGATGATGGGGAATACAATGGATTGGGTGATTCTTACTTTAGCGCTCAGTTGTATGTCTTTACTTTTTTAGCTTCATTAGCCTCTGGATGGTTCCATTAAAGTTCAGACTAAAACCCAAAGCAGTTTCACCATCTCATAGACATAGGAGCCATCAGCTGCCCCTGGTGTAAAGCTAGTACAGTTGACCCTCAATATGCACAGGTTCTTTATCTACTGAGCCAACCATTCATGGCCTGAATATGTATACACAGCTACACACACACACACACACACACACACACACTCCAAAAAAGCAAACCTTCATTTTGCAATTTTAGATAAGGGACACCATTTTACTGTGCCATTGTATATAATGGGACTTGAGCATCCATAGATTTTGGATTCCATGGGGTTCATGGAAACAAAGCCCAGTGGATACCAAGGACCCACTATAAGGAGAAGATAAATACAGACTGTGTGGAACTAGACAATTGTGGAGTACGGATAACCCTTAGTTAACAAAGTCAATGTGTTCCTGGCCATGGTCTTTAACAGAAAATTGGGTACCAGAGGCAGAAGTAACATGAAAAGAAGAGGTGGAGATTCCAAGCTCACAAAAAAAAGAAGAGTGGTTCAGCATGTTTCAGCAAACCTTTTATTCAAAACTAGAAATATGCACGGGGGAAATGGAGCAACCAGATCATATATGCCTCACAGAAGGCAAGACATTTTGAACCTTCTAGAGACCACTTACAGGCTTCTTCCCAAATGCATCCAGAGATAAGATTTCCATTTAGGTGCTCACAGGTAAGGTCACCCAGTGTATTTCTTTGTTTTAGCAGGAATTCAAACTCCAGTCTCCCAGAGTCATAGTCCAACAATGAAATCATAACTCCATTCTTGCTCTTTAAAACTGACCTTCTGTCAACCCTCTCACAGAGTTATCTTGGCCAGATTTCTTCCATTCAGAGATGGTTTGAAGGTTACAAGAGAGTGTGAGCCACCCGGTCTGTTGCCGGTAATGTAGCTTGACACCGCTTAACTGCCATTCCAATTCTATGGAATTTTGTAGTTTGTTGTGGCACTAGCACTCTCTGGCAGAGAAGACGCAATATCTCACAAAACTACAAATCCCAGAATTCCATAGTGTTGAGCCATGGCAGTTAAAGTAGTGTCAAACTGCATTATTTCTACAGTGCAGATGAAGCTCCATTGGGTTTCTGTGGCTGATTGGGGATTTGAACCCTGGTCCCCTGGAGTCCTAGTCCAGCTTCAAACCACTGCACCATGCCAATTTCTTTGAAAAGGACGAAGGAACGAAGGAACAAACAAGTTTTTTTGTTCCTCTCCGTTCCTCTCTGACACCTAACTTGGATTTCTTTCTGCAATTAAGAAACGTGGGATCTGCTTTGCAAAGGCAGTCTCGGGGCTCAAAATAACACATCCTTGCACACCTCTTTTGCAGCTGCCATTTAGTCAGATTGCCTTTCCTTCCTCCTCTGTGGTGACGCATTTGACTGGGGAACTGGAGTGTGGGTGGAGGAAATTGCTCTTTAAAATGTAAGTGCAAGGAAAGAAGTTTCTTGTGCGGGGGGCGAGAGAGGATGGGCTGTGTATGTTCAACGAAGATTGGGGAGGGTGGTTGGGTTCCAAACTGGAGCTGGGGGTGGTTGATGCTTGTGTCTCTAAGCAGAGTGCCTTTGCATTCACACTGCAGAAATAATCCAGGTTGACAGCACTTGAAATGTCATGGCTCAGTGCTGTGGAAGTCTGGGATTTGTAGTGTGTTGTGGCACTGAAGTGCTCTGACAGAGAAGGCTAATGTTCTCACAAAACTACAGGTCCCAGAATTCCATGGCATTGAGCTGTGGCAGTTGAAGTGGTGTCAGCCTCGATTATTTCTGCAGTGTTGATGCAGGCAGGTGGACAGGAGGACAAATACATGTTGCTAAAGCACAGAGGGGTGGCTGGTTCCATAGAAGTGCAAAGGAGATTGTGAACTCCTTTTGCAGACTTGCAAAGGGACTTGTGACTTCACGATATAGAAGTGTGAAGGAGTCCGTGATTTCATTTACCAAAGGGCAAAGTTGTTTGTAAGTCTGTGTTGCAGAATCTCAAAGATGCTTATGGATTCACATTGTGGAAGGACAAAAAGCTCTCGTGAGCTCACATTCTGGAAAGAGGACTCACAAAGAGTCTTGTGGTAAATTCAAGATGAACACATTTGATCTGGCATAAAATTTTGTGGATTGCTTGGTTGCATAGCATTTACGAATGCACTTTACATTTCTCTACTGCTTCATAGTGAACTAAGCATTCTCTAAGCTGTTTACAATGTGTTAGCCAATTGCTCCCAACAAGCTGGGGACTCATTTTACCAACCTACAAAAGGATGGAAGACTGAGTCAACCTTGGAGTCCTGGGATCAAACTCACAGTATTGTGACTGCAGTATCTGAATTTAACCACTGCATCACCAGGGTCCTCAATCTGATGAAGTGGCCTGGAATCAATGAGAGCTTACACCAAGTAAGCCTTGTTGATCTTTAAGGTGCAAACACTCTCACATAGGAGCTTGGGTTACACATCTGTATTCTTCTTTGGTGAATTCAAAGACATAGCCATGTTAATCTGGAAATTCAGTATGGAAAGAGACCTTTTAGATATAAGCCGCTTTGATAGCTTCGGCCAAAGGCGGGATAGAAATAAATACATTTATTATTATTATTATTATTGGCACAGGACCCCCAAGAAAGTGGAAAACCTGCAAATAACAAAAACACTATGTTTTTACTTGAGAGAACACCTCTCTAGGTCCTCCAGTGCAACTCTGTTGTCAACATCTGCCAGACACTGGCCATAGAATTGTGCTGGAGGAGCTACAAATGCCTAATGGAGGGTTCTCTCTAGGAATCTCTAGGTCCTTCAGTAGACTTTTGGTTAAAGTTGATCATAGAGTTGCACTGGAGGACCTAGATATTCCTAAACAGAACATACTAATACGGTCCATGAATAACCAAATCCACAAAAGTCAAATCCGCAAATGTGGAGGGACAACTATAATTTTGTTGTATTGTGGAAGGGGGGGGGGGTCTCTTTTCTGCTTAACTGGGTTTGAAGACAGCTAGGTTTCTGGAGAACTCTGGAACAGTCTACATCCACAAGGACAACTCCTCAGCTGAGCAACTAAGCGATGGAAGAATTAATTTAAGCAAATTACTAGTGGCTTCCTCTCTCCAGCTTTAGTGGTGCAGTGGCCAGCCAAATCATCAATCAATACCCCCCTCCCCACCTGACAGCTCCAGCTTGAATGCAGAAAACAAGAACATCACATCAAAAGAAAAGAAAAAAGATTTTAAATCCACTTTGACAAAAACACGCAGCAGCAAAAATGCAGCAATGATACAAGTAATGTTGTTGGTTAGTTCATTTTACTATAATATTTCGGTCCAAACCTGTATCAGAGGATGTCCGAGCAGGGCGCCATGAAATCAATTTAAACAATTTAAACAGTTTTCTGTTTTGAAAGGGATCTTGTAGCACCTTTGAGAGCTTTCAGAGACTTGGTCTCCTTCCTTGGAGAGAATGGGTGGCCAGGAAAAACCTTAAATTACACTGTGTGAATAGCCATAGGAATGCAAAACTTGTGGGTATGGCAGGCAAGGGGATCTTGGTGCTCCTTTGAGACTAACTGAGTCAAAGAAGTTATAGCAGAAGCTTTTGTAGACTTGGTCTACTTCCTCAGATGCATGGAGTGGACTGGTGCCCAGGAAAGCCCTTTATAAGCAGACTGTATGAATAGCCATGGAAATGGAGGGAGTTTTAGAAGGTGGTCCATTCAGGCTGGGAACCAGAAAACTAATGTGATGAACTGACTAAGAGTGTCCTCATGATGCTGGGGTGTTAACCAGTGTTATAATATGTGCAGTGTACTAGGAAGCCATCTCAAAGGTCCCTTTGCATGTTGATATTCCAGACTAACATGTCTATATCTCTGAATTCTAAATCCTCTTGATTAATCCCATCTGAATCAATTGCAGAATAGTGAATCTTCACAGGGTTAACTCCCATTACTGGTGCACCAAAGTTAAGTTAGCTCTCATTACTGGTGCCCTTGGTATCTGCTGGTGTTTGGTTCCAGGATCTCCTTTGGATCTCAAAATCCGTGGATGCTCAAGTCCCAGTATATACAATGGCATAGTGAAATGATATCCTGTATGCCAATTAGCAAAATCAAGGTTTGCTGTTTGGAATTTATATATTTTTAGAATATTTTCAAGCCATGGATGCTTGAATCTGTGGATAAAGAATCCATGGATATGAAGAGACGACTGTATTTCTAAGCATTACAGTACTTCTTTAATAAAAACAAAAAACAAAACACAGCAAAAAATTGGTACCAGAGATGGGAATAACATGGAAAGAAGGTCAGTTCAATGATTTTTTTCCCCCATAGAAAACTAACAATATGCACATAACAATTAGAAACAACTAGGTCAGGCAAGCTTTGTGTAAGTAAACAAAAACATTTGAACCTCCTAAAGACCACCTGGGAGCTTCTTCCAAATTGCACCCAGGGAGGATGCATTAGGCTCCACTATTCTTATGATGTAAATTTTGATATCTATCTATCTATCTATATCTATCTATCTATCTATCTATCTTTTTTTTTTAATGTGCTGGGCTGAGCTGATAAGGCAGGCTTCTCCCACCCCTTTCCCCCCCCTGTTTTGCTATTTTTCATTCATGCTTAGTGAGGGCTTTTGAGATAAGCTGCTGTTTACCTTGCCTGTTGTAGGCAGACATGTGCAGCTGCAGTAAGATTGACTGTTGCTTTATGGTGTTGTTTTATTGTATTGTGTAATGCTGAGGTGGTGCTGCAATCCAATAGGGAAAGTCTCCAGCTCTCTTTCTCCATTCTACCCAAAATGAGGCTGCTAAAAAAACAAACATCTTCCAGCTAGATGCAGGATGAGAAGGGAAAATTGGGGCTGGGCAGGCATTTAAAATTGTCGTAAAATGGAGTTTCTTTGTCAGTGGCTTTGTTAACTGAGAGATATTCCTGTATTTGTCCCAATGCAGGTGTGGTGTAGTGGTTTGTGTTTTGTTGGACTATGAGTCTAAAGACCAGGGTTCGAATGCCTGGTCGGCCATGGAAAACCATTGTGCAAGGTTTGCCTTAGGGTCGCAAAAGGAAATGACTAGAAGTCATACAACAACAATGTCTGTGTTGTTGTTGTTGTTGCTGTTGTTGTTGTTTTCCTGTCTTTTTTCCAACTCAAGTGATCTTACAACACACTAAAACAAAATACAGCTTTTTGAAAATAAAAAAAGCACCTGTTCATACAAAGGTAACAAAAGAAAAGAAAAAAGATTTCACAACATTCTATTAAAAACACAAAGTTAAAGCAATTAAAAGTACATTTAAAATAATAATAATAATAATAATAATAATAATAATAATAATAATTAATAATAATAATAATAGATAAAAGCATAGCCCACAGCAATGAAACTTCCCTTTTGAAAGCCAGTGAAAGCCAGGCCAGGCTACCTTTCTGAACCAAGAGTTTGTAGTGGAGTGTGGGAGAGTTTTAACAGCAAGGAGTAGAAACCTGGCATCAGTGCAGAGCATGGCATGGAGCTGGTGGGAAAATTCTGTTAAGAGATGCCAGCTCCCTCCTGCTCTAGGCTCAGATTGATTAACTGATTGATTGATAGATCAATAGATTATAGATATTTAGCTCCTAAGATACTCTGGATAAGAGCCAGGTGGTGTAGTGGTTTGAGTGTTGGACTATGACCCTGGAGACTAGGGTTTGAATCTTGACTTGGCAGTATAAACCCACCAGGTGACCTTTGGCAAGTCACACTCTCTCAGACTCAGAGCATGGCAATGGCAAACCCGCTCTGAAGAAACATGCCAAGAAAACTCTGTGATAAGTTTGTCTTAGGGTCGCCATAAGTCAAAAAAGACTTGGAGCACACAACATCATCATGCTATAGATACTTGAAGCCATTCTCCCCCGTCTCTACTGTGGTGTCATCATCCTTTGAAGGCTGTGAATGGGTGCATCTGCACTGTAGAAATAATGCAGTTAGACACCACTTTAACTGCCATGGCTCCAGGCTCCAGATTACTGGGATTTATACCTTGGTGTAGCACCAGCACACTTTCATAGAATCATAGAGTTGGAAGATACCCCAAGGGCCATGCAGTCCAAACCCCCACAATGCTCTGGCAGAGAAGACCCTGTAAGATTACAAATCCAGGGTTACACTTGATGGAGCTACAGTATTTAAAGTGGCATCGAAGTGCATCATTTCTACAGTGTAGATCAGGGGTAGGCAACCTTTTTGAGCTGGGGGTTGGGTTGCTGTCCCTCAGACAATTGGGGGGGCCGAAGCACCAAAAATAAATAAATAAATAAAATTAAATTAAATTAAATTAAAAATTAAATTTTTTTTTGAAAAATAGGCATGCACACTCTCTCAACCCCAGAAAACCCATGGCAAACCCTCTGTGGATATTTTGCCAAGAAAACCCCAAGAACAAGTAATAACAACAATAATCAATATCATCATGGCGGGCAGTGGGGCTGGTCCAAAGGCCTCAGGGGGCCGCATCCGGCCCCCGGGCCTTAGGTTGCCTACCCCTGGAGTAGATGCACCCTCAGTCTCCCACATAGATAACTTTTCCCAGCTCTGGAGAGACCGATTTGTGACTGATTGCAACATGAACCAGCCTTCTCCGTTTGTATGGAAAGAAAAATCCTTGTTTTAGTTATAATAGTGATATTAATTTTAAATGTTAATGGTTTAATACCGTTTTAAGGGTGGGAGGGAACATTTTGTACTGTATTTTATGCTGTGAACTGCGCGGATTGGGAAACCATTGGGTGGTATACAAATAATTTATTATTATTATTATTATTATTATTATTATCATCATCATCAAGGGAATGGCTTCCAGCAAAGAGAATTTGTGGAGTCACAATCCTCTGGTGGTACCTTTTGATATGTCCTTGGCTCTGTCCATGCTCCATTTAAGTAAATGCTAAAGATGTTTCAGGGGAATGTGTCCAGGAAACATCTCTCCAGCTCTCATCAATGCACATGGCTGTAAGTCCCATCAGTTTTAGCCATGCTTGCTCCTGAAGCAGACAGATGGTTGCAAGCTCCATGTTTCAGTGGCAGCTGCAAAGCTGAGAAAAAAAAACCATGTGCCGATGCATCATGTTCGGCTTCAGCACGAAACCATCCCCTTCCATCTCACCCACCCTGGATCACTTCCAGAAGCTGCTCCCAGCTAACCATTACTTCATAACATCCATCTTGGCCCTGTAAGGATAAGCTTCACACAATCTTATTGTCTTAATCTGTTCCGGAGGCTGGTTGCATGAGACGTTTACCAGCAGAGATGCCATCGGCAGTTGGCAGAAATGTCTGAATAAATAATCTGGAATGAAGTTACTGGTGTACCACTGGAGGAGAATGACATAACGGAGAGAATTAAAAGCTGTGTTTGACAACATCAGAGACTTGGCAGACAACTTCAGATGGAGAGCAGAAGTGAAACTACCAAATTGTAAAGTTTTGGATTTATAGAAACCTGGAGTTAGAAGGGTCTGCAAAAGCCATCCACTCCAACCCCCTTCTGCCATGCAGGAATACACACCTAAAGCCCTCCTGAGAGGTGGGCATCTCATCCTCTATTATAAGGAGGAGATAACATCACTATTGAAGGCAGTCTGTTTCACTGTCAAACAGCTTTTAGTGCCAGGAACTTCTTCCTATCCTTTAGGTGGAATCTCTTTTCATAGAATCACAGAGTTGGAAGGGACCTCCAAGGGCCATCTACTCCAGCCCCCTGTCATGTAGAATTCACAGCTAAATTTCTTTCTAATCTTTGGGTGGAGTACCCCTTCATAGAATCACTGAGTTGGGAGGGAGTCCTAAAGGCAATCTAGTCCAACCCCCTGCCATGCAGAATCCACAACTATAGTCCTGCTGATAGGTGAGCATCCAACCTCCATTTAAAGACCTTCAAAGGAGGGGACTCCACCACCCTTACAGCTCTTAGTGTCAAGAAATTCTTTCTGTAGTTAGCCGGAATCTCTTTTCTTGTAATGTGAGTCTCCTCCTGTTCTCTAAATTTCAAATTATAGATGGTCTCTGTCCGTTTTAAGAAATTTCCTATTCATTCCTTCTAGCACATCTCACCATTTGAGAACCAATGCAAGTGGTCTGTTTTCCAGAGCAAACTTTCTTAAAATGCAGATGAGAGAGGTAAAGTCCGTGGCTGAAACCAGTGAGACTTGGGTCTAATCTGCACTGCAGAAATAATGCAGTTTGACATGGCTTTAACTCTCATGGTTCCATGCCATGGGATCATAGGATTCGTAGTGTGCTGTGGCACCAGAGCTCTCTGACAGAGAAGGCAAAATATCACGGAAGATTACAAATCCCACAGTTCCAAAGCATTGAGTCATGGCAGTTAAAGCAGTGTTGAACTGCATTAATTCTGCACTGCAGAGACATGCTTACAAACCTGCCCTCTCCTGGCTGCATCCGCACTACAGAAATAATCCAGGTTGACACCAGTTCAACTACCAAGGCTCAGTGCTATGGAATTCCAGGAACTGTAGTGTTGTGGGACATTTACATTTCTCTATCAGAGAGTTCTGGTGCTGCAACAAACTACAAATCCCATGATTTGGTAGCATTCAGCCATGGCTGTTAAAGTGGTGTGAACCTGGATTTTTTCTGCAGTGCAGATGCAGATGCAGATGCGTCCCAGTTTAGTTCTGATTTTGGCCCTGAATGAAGTGTCTGGCAAGGAAAGAATTAAAACATACCCACAGATGTTGCTTTGGAGACATTTCTAGTCTGGGAAGCTTAGTCTTTCAGGCCAAGTGATGGAAATTCCAAATTTTGGGGAACATTGTTTCCAATTTTGGTTCAGTGGAGGAATCGACTTCCTTTGGCACCCAAACAGTGTGTGCACAATGTGCATCTGGTAGTTTATTACAATGGTTGTAACTCAGTGTGCAGCCAGTGAGTTAACCAAACATAAAGTTGCTCCAGGGAGTGATTCAGCCATCTTTGTTGAGCGATAACTCCACTGTAGGCACCGCAGCCGCCATCCGTGTTGTGACTGTCACAAGTCACTTGTGCATCATTGGAGACATTAGTCAAGGGAAGTCATTTCTGCTATGTAAGCCAGGAATGGCAAAGTGTGGTCCAACTGTAGGAGGCACTTGGGACCCCAAAGTGTAGCCCTGAAGCCTTCCCCAAAAACCCTAAACTGTCTAAGTAATAAAAAATGTGCAGATTTTCAGACATAAAAACCATCTGAATCCAACCAAAGACATCATGAATGTGGCAGTTTACGTCTCTTATCATGCCTAGAGCTCTGCAACCCCTCCAAAATTGAGTTTTTGCATGTAACGCTCTCTCAGCCTGAGGGGAAGGCAATGGCAAATGCCCTCTGGGAACAAATCTTAACAAGAAAACCCTATGATAGGTTTGCCTTAGGGTTGCCGTTAGTTGGAAATGACTTGAAGGCACCTGACAACAAGGGCCAGTAGATAATCCATGAAAATGCTGGGTGGAAATGGAGAGACTTCATTGCTATGGATGTGGGGGGATGTGGGAATGGCCCCTTTCCCTTCACAGTTGTCAAACCCTGAAGTAAGGTGCAACCTTAGATCCTATGTCCTGTTGCATAGTGTAAATTTTTACGGTGGTAGTAACGAAGCGACCTCAATCTTTGTCTGAATGCTGACATTGTGTGATCAGTTGCACATCTGTGCACGTGCCTGCTGTTTTCTCTGCTTCTGGTGAACCAAGCGGTACATTGAAGACAATGATGATGATGATTTATTTTATTTACTTTTATCCCACCATTATCCCAATACAGGAACTCAAGGCAGTAAACGGCAAGTTTAAAACAGTACAATTTAATAACTATACAAAGGTGTTAAAATGTATATATATATATTTAAAAATAAACAATTTTAAAAGTTAAAACTTTTATGCATTAAAATTTAAAATGTATTATAAATTCCATGCAAACTTTAAAATCTGAATTATACAGCATTTATAGCCCAATCCCTGTCAAATTTTTTGTTGTTGTGTGCCTTCCAGTTGTTTCTGACTTATGGCAATCCTAAATCAAACCTATCATGGGGTTTTATTGGCAGAATTTGTTCAGAGTTGGTTTGCCCTTGCCTTCCTCTGAGGCTGGGAGTGTATGACTCACCCAAGATCACCCAGTGGGTTTCCGTGGCCAAGTGGGGATGCGAACCCCAATCTCAGAGTCGTAGTCCAACACTCAAACCACTGTACCACACTGGCTTTTGTGAAGTGTTTACACTTATGCAATTCCCTTTACACAACTGTGAACGCAGTATGGCCAAAAAAGTACAACCACTTGTATAAAAGGAACTTGTATGTGTGTAACACACAACAGGACTCCTCCCAGAGCTGCCCACTATAGTCAAAATGGACAATCCTGGTGCCAGGGGTTTGGGGGTTTTGTTTTTGTTTTGGTCAAACTGTGAAATATGACAGTGGAGACAACAACAATCCCAGAAGTGGTCAGAACCCCAGACTTTTAAAATCATGTTTGAATATGACAATTTGTTTAAGCATGTAAATAATAATAATAATAATAATAATAATAATAATAATTATAATAATAATTTATTTATATCCCACCACTCTGTGGAGCAATCAGGGTGGCTTACAGCATGTTTCCTCTTTCTTATTATTGGGCTTATAACTGATCTGGTTATAGCTTTTTTGCAAGCTACTTTGGGTCTCATGCCAGGAGAAAGGTGCATATAAATGGAATAAATAAATAAGGTCTACTTCTGGGCCTGAAAAATTGACTTTTTCTTTTAAAAAGGTAATCCTCTGGTACCCCACTTTTCAGCCACTTTGAAAATGTCCTGATTTCTCTCTCCTCTCTCTCTCCATGCTTGCTTCTGTTGCTTCAAACTGAGTTCAAAGTACAAAAGCTGTTTCCACTCTATTAACTCAGCAGAGAAAGAGGAAAGGGGGTGGCTGGTTCTTGCCTTTCCCAGGAGGCTCAGGCAAAAGCAAACCTCTGCAGCCTCTCCCAGCTTGTGTGCTCTTCCTCAATGTTAACTTTGCCGTCTTGACCATCATCTGATGTTGCTTAGCCACATGTGTTCCGGTTTTCCCTCTGTGAAATGTTGGAGGGCGTGAAATGTCGGGACGAGAGGTTATGAAGCAGATTCTTCTTGGCTTAGAAAGACAGATGGTGAACTTAGTTCTCCTCTTTCTTCTTTCTTCCAGAACCCCAGCTGAAAGGAATCGTGACAAGGTTATTCAGCCAGCAGGAATATTTCCTGCAGATGCACCCAGATGGGACAATTGATGGAACCAAGGACGAAAACAGTGACTACAGTCAGTCCATTTCTATTTTTCTATTTTTCTCTCACTGTGTCACTTCTCGCTCTCTCTCCTTTGGCCACCTGATTATAAATCACACCCTTTGCCTCACAGCCCTGTTGCACAAGTACTTTGTGGCTTTGCTTTCTTGCATGTATCTGAACAGGAGAAGTGTTAAATTGCAGCCCTGCCAGTTCCTTGCACCCTGCCTACCTCTCAGCATTTCCCTTTTAAACAAATCTCTCCTTGCTCCATTCTACTTCTCGCATTTTATTTTATATTCGTGCCCCAATGCTGCAGCTGCTGTCTGGGGGTGGTGAGGAGAATAAAACTCTTCTCTTCTGATTCTGAGTTCTTGCCAAGAGAATCGGGGAGGGAAAACCATCTCATCTGGATGGCAGATTGATCACTTGGCAAGGGATTGCTCTGCTTGAAAGGAAGTAAATTCCTTCAGCCTCCAGCAGGATGATGCTTTTAGGGCTGGTGCAGGCAAGGGAGACCCATTGAGTGCAACACTTTGCTTTCAAGGGTGCACTTCCAGAGATGCCTAAGGCAAGGCAGGATGGGCACACACATTAGTAACAGTCCCACTCTATTCTGCTTTGCTCAGATCTCACCTAGAATATTGCATCCAGTTTTGGGCACCACAATTCAAAAAGGATATTGGGAAGCTGGAGCATGTCCAGAGAAGGGCTGGTAGTGAAGGGGTCTGGAAACCATGCGCTATGAGGAGAGACTTAGGGAGCTGGGTATGTTTAGCCTGGAGAAGAGACGGTTAAGAGGTGATATGATAACCCTGTTTAAATATTTGAAGGGAAGTCATATTGCAGATGCAGCAAGCTTGTTTTCTGCTGCTCCAGAGAATAGGACATGGAGCAATGGATGTAAACCACAGGAAAAGAGATTCTACTTCAACATTAGGGAAGAACTTTCTGAAAGTAAGAGCTTTTTGACAGTGGAAGATGATGCCTTGGAAAGTGGTGAGTCTCCTTCTTTAAGGGTTTTAAACAGAGGCTGGATGGCCATTTGTCACAGGAGGTGCTTTGATTGTGTCTTTCTGCATGGCAGAAAGGGGCTGGACTTCATGGCCCTTGGGGTCTTTTCCAACTCTATGATTCTGTGATTCTATGATTAAGGTTGCCTGGTGTCCCTTACTATATAAGGCATGCCCTTTATTTGATGTAGGTGGTGAGGTGCAGTGATTTGAGTGTTGGAGTAGGACTGTATGAGACTAGAGTTCAAATTCACACTCAGCCATGGGGGGGGACCTGATCACCTTTTAGCTTTAGAACAGTGATTCCCAGAGTGGGGGTATCCCCCCTGGGCCAGTGGAAAGATCCAGGTGGGCAGTGAGGGAAAAGGGAGTGGTGGGGGAGAAGTGACAGCAAAAAAGAACTTTTCCATTTGGGTCCCTGACTAAGCTCTGTAAGTTTTGCCAGGACTTGGGTGGCAGGTTGGAGTTGCACTGCTGCTCCTGCTTTATTTGGTCAGACAGGCTGAGAAAAAAGGTAGCTGAAGAAACAATGTTTGTCTTGGGGGTGGGTGGATTGAACCTGTGTGAGGAAGGCACATCTCTGAGAAAGGAGAGGGGAGGAGTAGCCAGGGTTGATTCTTCAAAAGAGTCCTTTGTCTCTCTCCAATTGAAAGAGGTCCCTTGCCAGGGGAAAAGTAGGAAGCCATCTGCACCCCCTCCACTCCAGCAGAGAAAGATCGAGAGCCCCCCCCCCAGGGAGAAGCTTTTCGCTTTGCACCTGGTCACCTTGGGTGCAGTAACTGAGCAACTGGCTGAGCCATGACTGAAAGATCTCTAGCCTGTGCTGGCCTTTGCTGCAAGGCTGGCATGGTCAGAAGCTTCTTGGTTGCTGCTCAGCTAGCTGCTTGGTTGTGCCTCCCTTTGTGGCCAGTAACCCCTGGGAGCAGCAACTGGGCAGCTAGCTGAGCAGCAACCAAGAAGCCTCATGCCTGTGCCAGCCTTTACCACAAGGCTGACATGGATGAGAGGCTTCTCGGTTGCTGCTCAGTCAGCTGCTTGGTTGCTGCTCCCAAGGTGACCAGCTGCTCAATTGCTTCTCCCTTTGCTCTCAGTGACCCTGGGAGCAACAAGCAAGAAGCCTCTTGCTTGTGCCAGCCTTTGTTGCAAGGCTGACATGGGTGAGAGGCTTCTTGGTTGCTGCTCAGCCAACTGCTTGGTTGCAGCTCCCAAGGTGCCCAGCTGCCCAGTTGCTTTGCCCTTTCCTCCCAGTCTTCCTCGGAGCAAAAACTGAGCAGCTGGCCAGCCAGCCTTCTCTTTGCTGTAATGCCAGTGCAGGGAGAAGCAAGCTTGGGTTGCTGCCACTGCTGTATTCACACATGAGAGGCTGAGAAAGAGAAGGAGGTAGTAGCGAGCTGGATGTGGCTGCAGTAGATGCTACTGGCTGGCTAACAGTAGACCTAATATCAAGAAATGGGTGTTGGGGGATGCTAGGGTTGTTGCCCAGGATGAAAGGGGGTGGTAGCCTGAAAATGTTTCAGAATCACTGCCTTAGAGCAGGGGTAGGCAACCTTTTTGAGCCGGGGGCTGGGTTGCTGTCCCTCACACAATTGGGGGGCCGAAGCACCAAAAATAAATAAATAAATAAATAAATAAATAAATAAATAATTTTTAAAATAAAAATTAAAAAAAATATTAAAAAATACGCATGCACACTCTCTCAGCCCCAGAAAAGCCATGGCAAAACCCCTGTGGAGATTTTGCCAAGAAAACCCCAAGAACAAGTAATAACAGCAATAATCAATATCATCATGGTGGGTGGTGGCGGCGGCGGCAGGACCGGCCTGGGGCCAGTCCAAAGGCCTCAGGGGGCCGTATCCGGCCCCCGGGCCTTAGGTTGCCTACCCCTGCCTTAGAGGAAGGCAAAGAGAAACCACCTTGGAATAACTCTAGAGAGCCAGTATGGTATAGTGGTTTGAGTATTGGATTAGGACTCTCAGGTTGCATCTAACTGTCGAAACCATGCATTTCGAGACCACTTTAAGCGTTGTACCTCCATCTTATGGAATCCTGGGATTTGTAGTTTTACAAGATCATTAGCCTTTTCTGCCAGAGTACTGGTGGCCTCACAAAACTACAAATTCCAGGATTCTATAGAATGGAGCCATAGTAGTTCAAGTGGTGTCAAACAGCATCATTTCTACAGTATAAATGCACCCTGAGACACCAAGGTTCAGATCCTTTCTGCTCAGCCCTGGAAACCCTTTAGATGATTTTGTGCAAGTCACACTCTTTCAGTCTCAGAAGGAGACAGTGGCAAGCCCCTTCTGAACAAATACTGCCAAGAAAAAAAAACCGTGATTGGCTCACATTATGGTCTCCATAAGTCAGAAACAACTTGAAGTTGCATAACAATACTCTTATTTGAGAGCTGTAGATATGATTGACAGGTGTCCATTATTATAAGTAGCACCCCCTAATTGAAGGCTGGAAATATTTTCTTTTCATGAAGAAAATACCATTTTTTGAAAAAAAAATATGCTATGGGGCTTAGAGTAAAATGAGGTTGCATACAAATAATTTAGAGAATATATGTACAAGTAATTTAGGCATAAAAATAGTTTAGCCATTCTGAAGGCTTATTAAACAGTTAACTAATTTAAAAGTTGAATAATTTAAAGAGTTTTTAAAAACCCAGTGTAAATCCCTGTATGTGGACAAACTGGAAGGCAATTATTACGGTATGTATTAGAAAGCCAGGTTTACACTTAGTACTAGAATGGAAGTAACAGTGATGCCAATTGGGCCTGCAGGAGAAGGGTACTGCATAAGAGAGAAAAGGCCCTGCATCCACAAAAGGGCATCACTAGGGAGTATGGGCTGCACCAGGTGATAACCTGAAGGGGTGACACCTCTGCTTCTCAAACATCTGCTTTTTGGCGGAAATTTGGCTGTAGTATTCAATTAT